CACTTGTCTAATTATGTTGGCTAATCCCCCACACACCACCCCAATTTATTGTTAAACAATAGTAGAGATAGTAGGCATTTTTTCCTTATTCTTTATCGTATTGGAAGTAGTTCTGTTTTTATACTATTGGAAATACTTCTATTTTATACTATACTCCTATTTTTATACCAGTTTCTGGTTTTATACTCAATTAAATTTAATCTAAAGTATGAAAGATTAATGTAAATAATTATGTGTCAATAAACCTAATTATTAAAAAGAATCTATCTCTGCTACTTCTGGGTTTGGAGGAGGATGGTGGCCACCTGACGTTGAATCTCCCCACTGTCCCTCCCCTCTGTTCCAAACAATAAAAAGGGGAGAGCAAGTAAACCCACACTTGGCCCTGCATTTCACGATACTAGGAGACAGAGAATATCATGGCTTCACATTACATGTAAGTTCAGAAATAAACTAAATTCCCATAAAGGTTCTATTGCTGTAAGTCTGTGGATGCCAAGAACAAGTATAGGAGAGACTTAAAAGACTCCATGAGAATAAGTAGAGTGGTTCAGAGTACTTAGACAAAGCACAAACAGAATAGTCTCCTTACCCCCAGAAAGAGAAGCTCCAATACAAAGTATAAAATACTGAACACAGGTTTGGATATACTAGACCATATCACCAGCTCTTCAAAGAGTGCAGGACTAGGGAAGCCTCAGAGAAGCATTGCTCCTGGGAGATAATCAGCTATCTAGGAAAGATGTGGTTTCCCTTGGAGACAGGCCACTGAAGGGAAAGAAGGAAATACGAGGGAAAAGCTAAGGTTCTAATGGAAACAAAAGAGAAAGAAGATATACCAACCCCTCCTTCCACCAATGCTATTCATAAATGAAACTGCCCAGAAAAAGGGAACTGTCAGAAGAGGGCGCTGTCAAACTAGGAACCCTGTTCACAAAATGAAGAGGAATAGAAAAAAGCAGATCACAGCTATATAAAAACTACTGCAAAAAATGCTGAAAGTGCAATTCAGAGTTAAAATGTTGATACAGATTCTCTAACAATCACAAAATTGACAAAACTGTAACACCTTCCTTCATACTGGATTAAATATCCTCAGTCAGCATTTAGGAGTAATGAAAAAAACAGCTTGAATCACAAATTAGAAAACTAAGAAATGGACAAAAAAGAAAAAAGGAAAGGAATGTTAACTGAATCCAGAAAAGAGAAGACAAATTCAAAATTGTGTTACAAATGAAAACTAAGTTTGTCCAAGGGACAATAAATTTGTATAAAAATTTATTAAGGGGCATTAAAAGCAGGGGGGGGATCCCTAAATAATGAAAATGAGCTTAAACAAAAAAGTTAAAAAGTTTAAAGAAAAAAATGATTGAATTGGAAAACAGGCAGAGGAGGTCCAACATAAGACTACTTGGAGACCCTCAAGAAAATCAGAACAGCTGACTGGAGCAAATATCTAAATTAGAATCAAGAAAACTTTCTGGAAAGAAAAGAAACCTTGAATCTACATATTGAAAGGGCCTACCAGGTACCAGGGAAAATTGACCCAGAACAGTCCAAGAAGTATCCTAGTAAAATTATTGTATTTTAAACATTGAAAAACAGAAAAGTAGTTTACAAAGACATTTAAGTTTGACCATGCTGTTCACAAATAACTTACAAAGCAAGGCAACAGTACAGTGACATTTCAGAAATCTTAATGAGTGTAAATCATAAACCAAAAAGATTATATCCAACCATTTGTCCTTTTTAAGAATCAATCAAGGTTAAAGAAAAACAGTTTGAATGTCCAAAAACGCAGAGAATACTGTGCACATGTGCCCTTTCTGGTGAATCTACTATAGGGAGATCAAGGGAACCATAGGTGAGTAGGGAAACTGCTAATGGATGGATGGAGATTTTACACATGTAGAGCTAACACCAAAACTAGGAATTACAGTTTTGGTATATTAATCATAGTTTGATCAGAGAAGCACAACAACTGGGGATAATAATGAGAGAACTAATAGGGGATTCATTTTAGGTAGTTGACCTTATGTTATTGGAGCTACATGGCTAATCAGTATATGTGAGACTATTGCTTCTGTGTGCTCCTGCAACCTACCTGAGTTTGCTAACTTTTCAGGGTCTTCAAGCAGAGATGTGTGTGTATATGTTCTTGTGCTTTGGTTTGGAATTCAAGTGTAATTGTTGGCAAATTATATCTCCTGATGGCAGATCAGGCGGTTGAGAAGGAAAGATGGATATAAAGTAGCAGAGAACAAGGGCAAACCAGAAAGAACGTGCAAACATGAGCTAGAACTCGCAAGGATAAACTGAAACCTGTGTAAACTTCAGTTTAGATAATGAAGTGGAGCAAAACACTCATCTGGCCCAGAAATTGGAGATGCGGAAGAAGATCTACAACCCTGATATTACTGCTTTCATTTGCCTCTCATATCTTTTTTTTACCCCTTTATTTTTAGCCTTTCTGATTCACATTTTCTTAGATGTATCTTTTATATAAAGAACTTATCCAAATCTTTTTCTTTTAATAATGAGTTAAGCCCATTGGTATTTATTCGTATGACTGGTAATGTACAAATATTATGTGTATTTGGTTATATCTGTTGTGTTTATCAACATGATGCACTTTCTTTGCTGTTTTATTTTCCTAATCTCTTCTGATATTTATAAATGTTTACATTTATCTTTTATTAATCTTTGTACTTACAACTTTAAAAAATAATAATAGCAAAATTTGTTGAAATTTTAGTTTACGCTAGGTACTATGCTAAATGCCTTACACAGATATCTCTTTTAATCCACCTGACTTACAAGGCATTTACTATTATTTTCCTCATTTTGCAAATGAGAAAACAGATGAACAGTTAAGTAACTTGCCCAAGGTAACAGGTGTGCAGTCCTTCCCGCACTGCCCCACCACCTTTACCCACATTCCCCAGGCAACCATTCCTCACTGCATCTTTTTTCCCCAGCTGCTTTCAAGGTGTGTGTGTGTATGTGTGTGTGTTCAGCCTTTGGTTTTCAGCAGTTTGTTTATGGTGTGTCTAGACATGGTTTTAATGTGTGTGTGCTGAGCTTGAATTCTCTAAATTTATATATTTAATCAAATTTTGAAAGTTTGGGCATTATTCAGTTATTTTTTTCTGCCCCAATCTATTCACTTTTTCTGGGATTCCAGTTATACTTACTTAGATATTTTGAAACTGTTCCACAGGCCCCTAGGTTCTGTTTATTTTTGTTTCAATCTTCTTTCTCTCTTTGTGTTCTTTAGATTGGATAATTTCTGTTGAGCTGTCTTCAGGTTCATTAACCTTTTCTTTGTCATGTCCTTTTTGCCAATGAGATCATCCAGTGAACTTGTGGTATTTTTCAGTTCTAAAATTTTTAGTTATTTTTTATAATTTCCATTTCACTGTTCATGTATCTGTCTTTTTACTTACTTCATATGTGTTTTTCTTTACCTCATGGAGCATAGTTGTCTAGTTGCTTGAAAGTCTTTGGTAAGTCGAACATCTGCTTTATTTTGGCATCGATATCTCTTGATTTTTTCCCCCTTGATAGTTGACCATATTTCCTTGTTCTTTTCTTTGAATGCCAGGTAATTTTGGATTGTATCCTGGACGTTGGAATGTGATGATATGGGAACTCTGGGTTCTGTTGTAGTCCTGTAGGGAATATTGGTAGCTTTATTTTAGTAGGCCTTCAACCCTCTTAATTCAAATTATAACTTCTGTCTCATCTTCATCAGCTCGCTCTCCTTCTGTAAACCCAGTTATTCAGTTCTCAGCTCCCCAAGCATTTGCTACACTTTTTTGAGTCTGTTCCATGTACTGTAGTTTAGAGGTTAAACTAAGACTTGTGAGTGTTCATACTCAGAAATAAGGAGTTGCTTTCCCCAACTCTTCCCCTCAGGGTTTCTCCCACACTGTCCAGGTTACGTGGTTTCTTGGGCCAGAGTTGCAGCCAGGTTTCTCCTGGGGTTTTGGCTCCCCATACAGCTCCAAAACTGGAACCCACTCTCAGGGCAAAGCTAGGAAAAGGATGGAAAAAGAAAATAAAACTGGCAGTTCACTCTTCTGTCACTTGCTTTTCTGAGTTTTGACCCTCCTGTACAATCTACCTGATTTTGTTTACTTTTCTCTGTCTTCAAGCAGGGTGTGTCTTCAAGCATGCATGTTTGGTTTTGATTAGGAATTAATAGTTGTAATAAAAGCATGAGCTTCTGGGAAATTATATCTCCTGATTTGTGTGGTGTTATTTGTTCATCTTGCAGGTTTGAGTAGTTTTTGATGGATGTGTTGGAAGATTTGAATGTACTTAGCTGTTATTATCTCTACTAGTTTGGTAGTAAATATTGAAATTTTTCACTGAATCCAGCCTAACACTTTTTTTTTTTGTCACTAACTTCTTGAAATAATGTAGTGATTAGATAAGAGACGTATGTTGTTTTCAGCAGTTATGTCTACAGAAAGGCTTGTTCTAAGAACCATACAATAGGAATTTTAAATAAATCAAAAGCTTTATATTATGGAAACATCTTGCTTATATTTATTCTGTTAATCTGTAATGTAAAGTTAGATCAAAAAATATAAGAGAGTGATATAACAATAAATACCTCCCAAAAGCAGACATAAGCAACTGAATTTCGAAGGGGCTTATTATAGGTGGAAAAAATGTCCACATTTAATAAGAAAATAAAGATGATTTTTATAGCGTTATCTAAATAAAAGAAAAAAGAAGTTTTAATCCTTCAATAACCATATGAATTTGTTATGTGTTTTTATGTAATAATCAATATTGTTATGAGATTTAAATTTGTAAGTTTTTTATATGTATGTTAAAATGCAGTTGAAGATCCCAGCATAGTTCTACTTTTTGTTTTTTTTGATCTATGGACTTTTAATATTTATTAGTGACCCAAAACCTAATGTGTGGATGATGATATTCAAACGTAAATATTTAATAATGTTTAACATATAATGTTTTCCTTTCAGATGGTCTTCTCATTATTGGTGTTCACTCAGCTAAGTTTCCAAATGAAAAAGTCCTGGATAACATTAAGAGTGCTGTTCTTCGATACAACATCACCCACCCTGTGGTTAATGATGCAGATGCCAGCCTTTGGCAAGAACTAGAAGTTTCCTGCTGGCCAACTCTAGTCATACTTGGACCTCGCGGAAACATGTTGTTTTCTTTGATTGGAGAGGGACACAAAGATAAATTATTTTTATATACTTCAATGGCTTTAAAGTATTACAAAGACAGGGGGCAGATCAGAGATGATAAAATTGGAATAAAACTCTATAAAGATTCTTTGCCACCTTCACCATTGCTGTTTCCTGGCAAAGTAACAGTAGACCAAGTTACTAATAGATTGGTAATAGCAGACACTGGACATCATAGAATTTTGGTCGTTGGGAAGAATGGACAAATTCAATATAGCATTGGAGGTAAAGCTTCTGATTATGATATATAATATGTTTTACAGTAAAAAAAAATAGCTCAGGTAAATATAAAAGTTGAAATGTCTAAATGAAAACTAATAGAAAAGTGATATACATTGACTTAACTTCCTAACAAAAATTTTTTGTTAATTAATGCATGATGTCTGAATTAACCTCTTCTCACTCCCTCGTAAAACAAACAAAAACACTGAAAAAGCTCCAGGTGAAAAAGAGGAAATAGTTCAGCTTTTAGATACATTTGTATATTCTATCTTTTTTTTTTTTTTTAACTGCTGTACTTACTGTTTCTTATGAAAATATACATTTTGGATTTCAGACATTTTAAGTAGAAGTATTGTGTTTCACTTTCCAACAAAATATAGCCATATCTTTTTAAAGATCATGTCAGTGCCCCATGAACTTGAGAAGTAGTTTATAAAATAATTAAGCTAGAATTTATGCATAATTTTACTTTTCTCTCCTTCTTTCCATAAGAACTTGAACATGTGTCTGGATCTATTTCCAGAATAGAAATAGGTGTAGCAGAGTATAAGTATCATGCAAGCATAGATCATTTTATTCTGTATCTCCCTGGTCTTAGATCTAAAACTACCTCTTGGTTACATGTACATAATTAATAAACTCTACGGAGTACATTCTTATTAATCTTACTTATCTAAACTGACATCTGACAACATGTTAGTCAAAGACAAAAGTAATTCATCTCTTTGCAGTCAGTCCTGTTTTAGTAATATATACAGCATTAGTACATAAAGTAGGAATGTCTCAGTTCCTAATATAAAAAAACTAGTTGTAGTCCTATGCCCTGATGTTATTCTTAATGTGCCAAGATACAGTAGGTGTTGTGTTTTGTGGTGTTTGTTTTGTTTTGGCTACTTGGTATTTTGATTTATGACAGGCGGTTATGAGAATTGAATTGTTACTCAAAAAGTGTCTTTTGTAGCAGCTTGAACTTAAGTGGTTTTAAAGTGTTTAATAGATTCTGTGATTTTCAAAATAGTGTAGGTGAATATTCTTTGTTAAAAGAAACCAAGCTACACTGCCCAAACATATTTCTTTGTTAAAAGAGAAACCAAGCAAACTATACTACCCAAACATATTTCTAGAAATACTGTTATCTTTTGATATAGTTATTCTTTAATTTTTAAAAAAGAATTATTTGGTCAGATACACTCAGGAAACACTACTTTAATGTTATCTAACAGATTTTTGTTGGTGATGGTATAATATTTTTACTCTGCTAATTTTCCTCATGAGGGAGTATGGTACGCAATCTTTTCCAATCTCGCATAACCACAGAACTCCCCTTTTTTTTCAGGGAACTCTTGTCAATATCAACAATAATAATAGTATTATTAACAATTATAGTTACAGCAGACACTGTATGTCTGGCATTATTCGAAACATTTTACTTGTATGAACTCATTTTTGCCTGCACAATGCTATGAGTTAGGTAATTAGTTCCATTTTACAGAAGAAAAACTGAGACACAAAGAACTTGCCCAAACCACCAGCTAGAAAGAGACAGACCTGGGATTTAGACAGGGTCTTTTGGGCTCTTGAGTTCGTTTTCTTTTTTTTGAGACAGAGTCTTACTCTGTCACCCAAGCTGGAGTGGAGTGGCATGATCTCGGCTCACTGCAACCTCCACCTCCCAGGTTCAAGCAATTCTGCCCCAGCCTTCCAAGTAGCTGGGATTACAGGTGCCTGCCACTACACCTGGCCAATTTTTTGTATTTTTAGTAGAGATGGGATTTCATTGTTTTAGCTAGGCTGGTCTCGAACTCTTGACCTCAAGTGATCTGCCTGCTTCGGCCTCCCAAAATGCTGAGATTACAGGTGTGAGCCACTGTACCAGGCCTTGAGTTTGTTTTCTAGCCACTCCATTACACTACCTTTTTATGGCTGCCTCGGACAATGGAGTTCCACAAAGCAGTTTGAACTGCTGATTTAGAGGCCTTGAATGGCTTGTTTGCTGGCCAGGGAAATAACAATTACATCTTATTGTGTTATACTCTCCACCCTTGAAACTCTACATGAATTGTTAAAACTGAGAAGTATACTAGGATCACTCTCTCTTATAGTGTGTACGATATATCGTAGGACTTTGTGACAAAGTGAAATAGTAGATAAGGATTCTTCATCTGGGGTCCTTGGGCTCCTAAAGGAAAGGCTTCAGTGGTCCTCAGGATCTAGGATTGTTTGCAACAATTTAGCCATGTATATTTTTCTAGGGAAAGGGCTTGTATTATCCAAGGAGCATATCTTTCAAAAATGTTAAAAATTGTTCATCTGTTGAATAATTAGAGTTATTTTTAAATCTTTGTAGTCTAGGTAATGGATAATTAGAATGCTTTTAAAATTATTTTCTTCACTATTTGCTACTATGCTTAAGTGCACTAGTAATTACACTATGAGCCCTGTCATTAGCAAAACTCACTCTTAAGAAAAATGTTCCTTGAGGAACATTTTAGTTTTTATGTGGACATACCATGTTTTTATATTAAATATTAAAATCCCAGCATTAAATACAAGTTTGTTTTGTTTCGTTTTACCTTGAGATCACTTCTTAAGTGGGAAATTTTATCTCATTTTAGGACCCAACCCTGGAAGAAAAGATGGAATATTTTCAGAATCAACTTTCAATTCTCCACAGGGTGTAGCCATAATGAATAATATCATATATGTGGCAGACACTGAAAACCACCTTATAAGAAAGGTAATTTTCATTTTAAATTTGTTTTAATACTTATAATCAGAAAAAGTAAATTGTATTTGCTACATTAAATATTTGAAGTTAAAGGGTGATGCTTATGTATGTCAATGTCCTTGTTCTGCTTTTTTTGAGGTACTTACTTTAGTTTTATTCTCAAGTATCCTGTTGCTATTTGTGTCAGTATGTAGTTACCACAAAAGAAAACCCCACTGAGTTCTTTTTTTAACCCTTTGTTTCAAAGCTGTGTCCCTAACCACTCAAAAGCTCCTCATTTTGAAGTATTTTCCTAACTACTAGTTTACAATGATCCTTTGTCCTTTTTCAGTTAAATTTTCTCAAACTAGAAAAAAAATCATATCACTCCTGCTTCTCTTCAACTCTTATGCTTTGGCTGGAAATACTGATTAGCCAATTCGTCTTAAAACTTGTTTTATCTTATTAGAAAAGTAATATGTGTTCTTATTTCTAAAAAGTCAGCTAATACATAAAGCTAAAAATAAAAGTCCCCTGACCATCAATTCCAGTTTCCCAGAGGTAACCATCCACTGTTAAAGTGTGTGTCTTTTTGGAAATGTTCTACTCTTATAAAAATAAATTGATATTAAAAAGCCTATTTGTAGAGAATTTTTTTAAACAAAGGTAATGATACTATGCATACATAATGTTTTGTAGGTTTTTCTAACTTTATTTTTTTGCATATTAGTCACCTGAATGATACGACTATATCACATTTCATTGTAGATGTACTCAGTTATTTCAAACATTTCCTACCTATGGCTGTTTTGGCTAAACCATTGGTCTTTAAGTTGCTATGTGTTTGGAAAATAAGTAACCAAGTTCGTCATACTCATCCTGTCTAAATACATTGTTTCAGATACTTCCTTGTTTTTCTCACTGTTTCTTTCAGTATTGACATTTATCCTCATTTATTTGACAATATTATCACCTATATACACATAGTAGAAAAAAAATACATGTAATATATAATAATAGCGACTGTACTGTAAGTCCCCCTGAGGGCTAGAAATATGTTTTGTCTACTATTAAATACTGGCATCTAGAAAAGACCTGGCCTGTGGTAGGTGTTCAACAGATATTTGTTGGATGAATTTATGAGCAAATAATACTGTTTCATGAAGCACTTTCGAAAGTGTGTATTCCTCTTAATATAAAAGTGTTACATGAAAAACAGATTTTGTGGGTTAATACATTAAAGCAGACGTGTTTTTTAAAGTCTTGGAGACTTTCTTCTTCCAGACTTAAATATGCTAATGTGTTGTTGAGTGCATTAATAGGGGGATATTTGTGCAGCATTTCTAAACTTATTTGACCAGAGATCCGTTTATAGGCAGAGCTGTTCATAGGACTAATGTTTCCATTGTGTATATTTTATGAAAAGTGGGTTTTTTTATTACTAAATTTTTAATGATTAGTATTTCTTTATCATTATCTTTTTGGGGATGTGTGCTTTTATAATTCATCAGAGGGGCTAGCCCTCTAATGGTGTATTGAATTGGTAAAATAGCCAGCCTGCAACATTCAGGGAGTACTTGTCCTTCTTTTCTAATTGTATGTCATTTCTCTTGCTTTACAACTTAATGGGTTTTGGAGTATTGACCATGTGCTGCATTTCAAATATTTATGCATTTAAGTAGCATAATCACAACAAATTTAGGTTACCTGAAATTGTTCTATATTATGTGACTTAATATGGTGTCTGCAGAAATGGAAAGTAAAATTTTTTCCTTTTAAAAATACAAGAATGTTTGTTGTGTTTTATTTTTGTTTAAGACCTCATTTGCAGAGGATTGAGTTGATTACACTTCTCCATTCACGGTTCACAAACATAGTTTCATGCAGACCCTTCTCATTTAGAATAATTTATTTAAATTATAAATTCTCCTACTTGGCCATACCCCCCACTGTCACTCCTCTTACATTAACATACCCATTGTGATTTTTTTTTTTTTTTTTTTTTGAGGCAGAGTCTTCACTCTGTCGCCCAGGCTGGAGTGCAGTGGCGCGATCTCGGCTCACTGCAAGCTCCGCCTCCCAGGTTCGCGCCATTCTCCTGCCTCAGCCTCCCGAGTAGCTGGGACTACAGGAGCCCGCCACCATGCCCGGCTAATTTTTTGTATTTTAGTAGAGACGGGGTTTCACCGTGTTAGCCAGGATGGTCTCTATCTCCTGACCTCGTGATCCGCCCGCCTCGGCCTCCCAAAGTGCAGGGATTACAGGCGTGAGCCACCGCGCCCGGCCTCATTGTGATATTTTTAATGCTTACTTTTTATTTGTATGTGATCTTGTAAACAAAGTGTTTTGTTTACATTTTTAATTACTTTATTGTGCTATATTTTATGTATCATAAAGTTCATCCATTTCAAATCTGCAATTCATTAGTTTTTAGTAAATTTAACAGGTTTTACAACTGTAACCATATGTTGTTTTTAAAACATTTCATCCCCCAAGTAAGAACCCACAAGACCACTTACAGATAGTCCTTATCCCCTCCCCATCCCTAGGCAACTGTTAATTTACTTTCTGTCTGTGTAAATTTGCCTTTTCCAAACATTTTATTTAAGTAGAATTATATATGTTTTCTTGTATTTGGCTTCTTTCATTTCGCATAATGAAAAGTTCATGTGTGAAGTGGCATGTCAGTAGTTCATTCCTTTGTATTGCTGGATAGTATTCTGTTGTGTGAATATGACATTTTATCTACCAATTCACCATTGATATTTAGATTGTTTTTTGGCTATTTTGTATATTTTGTTATTTTGGGCTGTTATGAATCATCTTGCCGTGAGCATTGATATATAAATTTTACATGGACATACATTTTCATTTGTCATGGGTAGATACCTAGAACTGGTATTGAGGAGTTACATGTTTTGTATTTAATTTTTTGAGAGCTGCTGAATTATTTTCCATAGCAATTGCACCATCTTACCTTCCCACTCGAAATATATGTGGGTTCCAATTTTCTACGTGTTCACTGTCACTTGTTATTTTTCAGTTTTAAAAAATTTTAGCCATCCTACTGGATATGAAGTGGCATCTCATTGTGGTTTTGATATGCATTTCCCTCATGACTAATGATGTCAGGCACCTTTTCCTGTGCTTATGGGCCATTTTTATATCTTTGAGAAGTGTCTGTTAAGATTCTTAGCCAAATTTTTAATTGGGTTGTCTTTTCTGTAAGAATTCTTTATATATTCTAGGTACAAGTTCTTTATCAGGTATATGATTTGCAAATGATTTTTCACATTTTTCTGCTTGCATTTATACTTAATCATGTTCTTTGATGCATAGAAGTTTTAAATTTTGATGATGACTAATTTGTCCATTTTTTCCTTTTGTTGCTTATGTTTTTGTTGTCATAAGAATCCATTGCTAAATCCAAGGTCACAATTATTTACCCCTGTGTTTTATTCTAAAAGTCTTTTAGTTATGGCTCTTATAATTAGGTCTTTGATCCATTTTGAGTTGATTTTTATATATGGTGTGAAGTAGGGGTTCAACTTCATTCTTTTACATGCAGATATACAGTTATCCCAGAAAGATTTATCCAAGAGACTATTCTTTCTCCATTGAATAGCCGTAGCAGCTTTGTTAAAAATTAGTTGATCATAGATGTATGGACAGGTCTATACCATTGATCTCTCTGTCTTTATGCCAGTACCTTACTGTTTTGATTGCTATAGCTTTTAATAAAGTTTGAAATTGGGAAGTATAAGTCCTCCCACTTTCTTCTTTTTCAAGATTGTTTTGGCTATCCTAGGTCCCTTGCAATTTGATAAGAATTTTAAGACCAGCTTATCCATTTCTGCCAAAATCTTTTGTTTCTTATGTAAACAAATTGTCTGCAAAAACAAGTTCCCTTCTGATTTTAAACTTCCTGTTTCCTTTTATTATATTGCTGACCAGTACCTCTCTTGCTTTTAAGCATTAGCATTGATGGTGGGTATCCTGTGATGCTCATAATCTTAAAGGGAATACATGTAAATTTTACCTAAAAGTGTAATATTTGGTGTAGCTTTGAGGAATAAGATATCTGTGAAGTAAGGAAAATTTCTTTCTGTTGATAGCTGGATAAAATATATAATAAAGAAGTTAAGTGAAATATTGAATAGAATCTAAGTGGTAGGTATATGGATGTTTGTTACAAAAATCTTTTAACTTTCCTGTGTGTTTGAAAATTTTCCCAATGCAATGTTGGGGGAAGGGTCTCAGGAGATGAAAGCAGAACATATTTTCCCAGTAGAATACATTAGTTTTTCAGTTTATGAAGTAAAGTCGGTATAGTGTCATGAAACTACCTGGGTTCAGGTCCCAGATTCTTGACTTACCAACTGTGGGATGTTGAAAAAGTTACTTAACGATCTGTGTTTTAGTTTTCTCTAAAATATTAAAATCGTCATATAGCTATGAGCATGGCTGGATGGCTGATTGGCTTCCTCACTGTTGGATCAGTGCTTGGCACATACAAGTTTTAATGTGTGTCGATCACTAACTGAGCACAATTGAAATATGTGCATTTAACTTTTAGAAACATGTATTTTGCTACATTGTGTTTTAAAATTTCATTTTAAAATTTTTGTTTAGTTAAGATGAGGTCAATGCCAGATCTGGAGGCATGATGGGAGACGGGGATAAGAGGGGAAAAGTGGAAGAATGGACAGGTGGGGAAATGAAAGGGACTGGTTATGTGCTTTTGAATAAGAAGTTCATGCTGTAATTGATTGGCCTTTTTAAAAATAAAACTTTATATTGCACATACACTCTAAATATTCTATTGAAAATCTTTACACAGCAAAAGACAAAAGCAAAAGTAACTTTCCTTGCATAAAACCATCCTTTCAATTTCTATAGATTGACCTAGAGGCTGAGAAGGTGAGCACTGTAGCTGGCATTGGAATTCAAGGTACAGATAAAGAAGGTGGAGCAAAAGGAGAACAACAACCCATTAGTTCCCCTTGGGATGTAGTTTTTGGAACATCAGGTATGTGAACTTTTGATATTAAATGTAAAAGTAAATTTTGCTTCATATAAGTTTTAAAAATATTCTTGAGATGGTCATTTGGATTAATTCTATTGCTAATTATTTTATACTTTTATACCTTTGCCTCAGAGTTTGTTAATTGTGTAAAAACAAAGCTAGCAGTAATATAGTCATATATTATATATACTAGAGTATGTATTATATATAATATTACCTATTTTATTTTATCTATAAGACTATGTGTTACTCTAAAGAATTATATATTAGATGCACCCTCCAATTAATGTAGTTCTGAATTTCTTATTTTGAAAGGATTATAGTTTCAGAACTTCAGAAGATTGTTCATGAACAGTAATCAATAATAATAAAAATAAATTTATTATTCATAAATAAGGAACTTACAGTGTCGTTATATACTCCAGTTCGAAAAAGAAAAAGAGGCAGCTGCTTTTGCTTTAGATTTAAAAAATTTATATTAAAGTATGATAGCTTCTTTTGAACAATTAAACTTTTACCCTACTGAATTGTGTAGACATTGATAATGAATGAAACGTAATGTTACCTTTATTATCTATATTAATTGACTAAAAGAAACCCAGGAGTACTCTTACTAGTATTCTTATATTTTATCGGCTGTCAGTGATACTGAGATGGTCATTTACATGTCTAAAATTGGATTGATGAGTAAACAAAGTTAGAATACATCGAAAATGGAATTTTGGACTAAATCGTTGGTGTTGTCTTCATATATTTGAAGAGTATATAAGTACCTGCTTAGTTGAAAGGCTTTACATTTGAGGTAATTTTCTTTTATGATGCCAATTTAATTATGATTCAAAGACCCTACTTTTTTTGTTATTAACTTTTATAAAGCACTTAATAATTCATAAAATAAATGAGTGAACTTCTAGTACTACCTGCACTTAACACTTAAGTATTTTGTATAGGTTATTTTTGAGAATTCTATTTGCGGAATTGTGTGTTGTAAACATTTATAATTTGTTTTGTAGCTCACCAAGGGGGATGGTATAGTAGGAGCAGTGCATCTGACTAAAGGGATACTTCATATGTAGAGAATTTTGAAATATTAATACAGTGAACTAAAACTCAGTCTCCATTTAATACCATGCACTAGCAATTCTAAATAATTCCAGGGCCAAATCTTCACCAGTACTTTTCACTTTTATCTCCCTGCCTTATTTGCTCTACTTATGATTATTTTTACTAAATCATATTTTAGTATGATGTTATTTATTACATGAGTTGTTCTATAGTGCAAGTAAACAAACTACAAGCTACATTTAGCAGCATGGACAAATATAACAAGGGATATTTTGAGTGATAAAAGAAAGTTACAGCATATGTACAATATAATTTCTTTGTAGAAATCTACAATGTGACTTCTTTTATAGCAAGTACAATAGCATTTAATACAAGCATTGGGAGATCCATTCAGACATAATAAAGTTAAAAAGTAAGAAGAATGATAAATGTACATTTTTATACTAATGGTTCCTTATGGGAGGAGGAGCAATTAGGTAAGAAAAAGAAATAAAAGGCATCCATATGGGAAAAGAAAAGTGAAATTGTCTCTGTTTGCTGATGGACATGATCTTATATATAGAAAATCCTTATGACTACACCAAAAGACTGTTAGAGCTGATAAATTTTGTAAAGTTAAAGATAACAAAATCAACATACAAAAATTAATAGTGTTTCTATATACTAACAGTGAACTATCCAAAAAGGAAATTATGAAAACAATTTCATTGACAGTAGCATTTAAAAAAGCAAAATAGTTAAGAGTAAATTTAACCAAGGAGGTGGAAAGATCTGTACACAGAAAACTATAAAACATTGATGAAATAATTTGAAGAAGACAAATAAATGGAGAGATATCCCATGTTCATGGATTGGAAGAATTAATATTGTTAAAATGTTCATACTACCCAAAGCATTCTACAGATTCAGTGTAATTTATATCAAAACTGTGTTGTCATTTTTCTTAGAAATAGAAAAAATCTATCTTAAAATGTGTATGGATCTAGAAGAGATCATGAATAGCCAAAGCAGTATTGAGCAGAAAGAACAAAGCTGGAGGCGTCACACTTCCTGATTTCAAACTATGAAGCTGTTGTAATCAAAATAGCATGGTACTGTTATAAAAACACACACATCAACCAATATAACAGGATAGAAAACCCAGAAATAAACCCAAGTATTTACAGTCAAATGATTTTCAACAGAAGTGCCAAGAACACACAATGTGGAAAGGACAATTCCTCCTACAAATGGTGTTGGGAAAATTGGATATCCACATGCAGAAGAATGAAATTGGACCCTATCATATACAAAAACCAACTCAAAATAGATTAAAGACTTATAAGTCCTGAAACAGTAAAGTCACAAGAAGAAAACAGGAAAAGCTCTACAACATTGATCTGGGCAATGAATGATTTCTTGGCTAGGACTCCAAAAACACAGGCAACAAAAGCAAAAATAGACCAATGGGATTGCATCAAACTAAGAAGCTCTATACAGCAAAGAAAACAATTAACAGAATGAGACAACCTATGGGTTGGGAGAAAATATCTGCAAACCATGTAACTGATAAGGGGCTAATATCCAAAATATGTGAGGAACTCAAACAACTCAATATCAAGAAAACAACCTGACTAAAATATAGGGAAAGGGTATCAACAAACATTTCTCAAAAGAGATATGAATGGCAAGCAGATATATGAGAAAATATTCATCAATCATCAAGGAAATGAGAATGAAAGCAATATGTGATATTACCTCACACCTGTTAGAATGACTTTATCAAAAAGACAAATGATAAATGTTGATGAGGATGTGGAAAAAAGAGAACCTTTGTACACTGTTGGGATTGTAAATTAATACAGACATTTTGGAAAATAGTATGGAGGTGCCTCGAAAAGCTAAAAATAGAATATTTATATGATCCAGCAGTCCAACTTAACAAAGGCATTAAAATTGCTATGTCATAGAGATATTTGCACTCCTATATTTATTTCAGCATTATTCACAATTGCTAAGATATGGCGGCAACCCATGTGTCCATCAGTGGATGAATGGATAAAGAAAATGTATATCTAAGACTGGGCCTGGTGGCTCATGCCTGTAATTTCAGCACTTTGGGAGGCTGAGGTGGGCAGATCACTTGAGGTCAGGAGTTCAAGACCAGCCTGGCCAACATGGTGAAGCCCCGTCTCTACAAGAATACAAAAATTAGCCGGGCATGATAGTAGGTGCCTGTAATCCTAGCTACTTGGGAGGTTGAGGTGGGAGAATCATTTGAACCCGGGAGGCGGAGGTTGCAGTGAGCCAAGATCATGCCACTGCACTCCAGCCTGGGCAACAGAGCAAGACTCCGTGTCTAAAAAAACAAAAAGAAAATGTGTATCTACACACTGGAGTACTATACAGCTTTAAATACTGTCATTCATGGCAACATGGATGGAAGCAGAGGACATTATGCTAAGTGAAATAAGCCAAACACAGACAGATACTGTATGATCTTACTTGTGGGAATCTAAAAACATCAGTCTTAGGCTGGGCATGATAACTCATGCCTGTAATCCCAGCACTTTGGGAAGCTAAGGTGAGAGGAATTCTTAAGGCCAGGAGTTTGAGATCAGTTTGGTCAACATAGTGAGACACTATTTCTACAAAAGAAATTTTAAAATAAAAAATAAATTTAAAAAATATTGTAAGAAAATCTCAGAAAAGGAACGTAGAAAAGTGGTTGCTAGAGGCTAGGAATAAGGGAAGGTATGGGGAAAGAGAAGAGGTTGATCAAAGGGTACGAAGTTTCAGTTGGAGGAATAAGTTTTAGAGATAATTGTGCACTGCATGGTGACCTGTAGTTATTATTTCACAACTGCTAAAAGAATAACATTTGCACCACAGAAAAAAATGTTGGTAAGGTCATAGATATGTTATTTAGCTTGAGTGAATCTTTCTACAGTGTACACATAGATCAAAACGATGTACCCCACAAATGTACACAATTATTATTAGTCAATTAAAAATTTGAAAAAAGAGATGTAGGAAAGATACTAGAAATATCTCATTATTTTAAACCTACATGTAATATGTAAAGGCATGTGTTTATTTTAAATAGTATCTGAATATTTAACCCAACTATACTGTACAGTCATAAAATAATTAGTATAAAGTGACTTTTACAAAATTACGTTTTATCTGTGTTCATTTTTTAATTTTCAGTATGGTCAGAACATCATACACCAAAAATAATTACTACAGTAAGTTCATTTTTTCAGCAGGTACATTGTAATGTTTCTAAAATGTGTATCAGGTCTCTGTTGACTCCATTCATACCAGACAACAACCTGAAAGACACTAAGGTTGAAACCTCTATCAGCATCTCTTTTTTTTTTTTTTTTTTGAGACTGAGTCTCATCCTATCACCTTGGCTGGAGTGCAGTGGCGTGATCTCAGCTCACTGCAACCTCTCCCTCCCGGGTTCAAGCAATGCTCCTGCCTCAGCCTCCCGAGTAGCTGAGATTACAGGTGTGCACCACCATGCCTGGCTAATGTTTGTATTTTTAGTAAAGATGGGGTTTCCCCATGTTGGCCAGGCTGGTCTCTTAACTCCTGACCTCGAGTGATCCGCCCACCTTGGCCTCCCAAAGTGCTAGGATTACAGGTGTGAGCCACTGCGCCCAGCCAAAACCCCTATCAGTATCTAAGTACTTTAAGACTTTACCTGATTTTGAGTCATTTATAGAAAGGATAATGTGCCAGAATCCCATTAACCTTTCTTGGCCCTTTAATCAACAATTTCCCTAGATAGAAATTTAGCCATTCTTCTACAACCTTTAATGGTTGAAATCCAACTATTTAGTATGCTAGTCTGATAATTTACAGTGTTGGTATTTATGTGCTTCAATAATATGCTTCTCTGACTCCCATTATTAATATGATATAAAATACCAAGAAAAAAATATTTTTGC